CCGCCCCTCGAGGCCCCGCCCCTCGAGGCCCCGCCCCCGCGGGTGCTGCTATGGAAACCCAGAACGCTACATGGCAGCCAGCCGCCAGAAGAAAGAGATTTTGCCAGTGCCATGGGGAGCCCAAGTCAACTTACCTCCACTTTCGTCACCGGCCTCAGAGGCAGCCCCGGGGCGGCCTGAGAAGTACCTGGTCTACCCGCACCCGCCCAGGAGGTCCCGCCTGTCGCGGTCCATCCTGCGCTGGCTCCAGAGCTTGGATCTCACCTTCTTCCCCAGGAACATCAGCAGGTGGGGGAGAAGCGCCCGGTGGACCCCGCCCGCCTCCTCCAGGCCGCCCACCACGCCCACACCCACACCTGCGCCCTTAGGGAGCGGGCCTGAAACAACATGATGGAGCATTTCATTCATTCATTCATTCATTCATTCAAGCAATCGATCATTAACTGTTGGGCCTACGCTAATATAGGCAGAAGGCTTTGGTGACTCCAAGAGTATTGAAATAGTCCAGGTTCTTCAGGTTCATTAGACCAGTCACTTGCTGTCAGGACAGAATATTAGGTTGGTGTTCACTGGAGCGCAGACGGTATAAGTAACCACATGTTCTCTCATTTCCTTCCGGCCACGGATCAGGGATTTTTCCAATGGCTTCCTAGTAGCAGAAATATTCGCTATCTATTACCCCTGGGACCTTAGCCTCTCAGCCTTTAGAAACGGCACTTCTTTAAGAGTCAAGTTGGATAACTGGGCGCAGCTGGAAAAGGTAAATCCGCGACCGTTGGCGGCGTTCACTGCTCCGTGGGTGGTTTTAAAGGGCTGGGTTTCTAGACGTGTGTGCGGCGGGCTCGGAGGGGACACTGCCGCGTGGGCACCTTGCTTCCTGAGATTGAAAAGAGGGCTATTAACACGCTCACTTCACGTGGGAGTGGGGTGTAATGGTTTTCTTGCCGAATGACATCATTTAATGATAAACAGGTGAGACAGAAAATTGGTGGAGAAATTAAAAGGGGGATTGGCGGGAATTCGTAGCGATTGAACCTTTGAATAAAACTATTCACGATGCAAATGTTTTCTTTCCACTGTTAAAGTTCCTGGCCAAAAAGAAAATTAGATTACCCAGGGAACTAATCTACGGGACGATCCACTGCAAAGCCGGCGTGCCGGAGATCCTGGTCCAGGAGGTGTACCGCTTGCTCACACACCAGGAGTGAGTGAGCTGGGGTTCCCAGCAAACACCGCGTCATCTGAAACTTTGGGTAACACACTTCTCACTCCTAAAATGCCGTTGGTGATCCGCATGTTGTTTTTTATTTCCAGAACCCAAAGT